CTCTCTCTCTCTCTCTCTCTCTCTCTCTCTCTCTCTCTCTCTCTCTCTCTCTGATACAGTGTTTCACTATACAGTTCCGAGTGGCCTTGAACTTTAGTAATTGTCCTACCTCAGCCTCTGAGTGCTGGGATTACAGGCAAGTGCCGCCATGCCTGTGCCACCATTCCTGGCTCAAGACTTTCTTAGAATCACCCAACTGTTGTGATTAAGAACTAATAAATTATTAGAGAACAGTAACAAATGCCTTAAGGAAACCCTCAATTCTGAGACATGCTGAGTATAGAATCCAGACTTTAGCTTCAATTCTATTAACTGTGTAGATGTTGTAGGTAATCAACAAAAGCACCTCTACATAAGAGATACCACAGAGACAACTGCTGGTGCGTATATGTGTCTGGTGACCCCATTCCAGGCACCCAAGCATGTCACCCTGTGCATGTTAGAAGAAGGAGGTGTGCAACTCTTTAGTCACAGAGCTGTTGATTACACAGAGCCCTGGTAACAAGAGCAGTTCCAGGCTTGAGTAGACAATTTTGGTCATGTGCATTGTGATTTCCATCTCCATTACAGTTAGCAGGTACCTCAGCAATTGGATGAGTTGTTTTTACCGCCCTAGACAGGCGTAGGGTCTTATGTAACTAAAACCACACAGGATGTGTATGTAATATTATCTTTATTATTTGCCCCTCAGGGAGTGCTTAGCCAGATGTGGGAAAGAAATTGTTTATCCTGGGCCTATCCTCTTCCTTGCTGTATGGTACCAATCCTGGGTTCTAACCCACCCCACAGTCACACCGTCATGCCAATCACTGGATTAACTCAATCTTCAGTTGCCTGTAAATCTTATTTTAAGGAGATTTTCATCAATTTTGTTTCTCTGGTTGTGTTCTCCACAGCTACTGTAAAGTTTGGGCAGTGCTAAAACTAACATACATCCTACATCTCTACATTGTAAGTGACTGCTCTCTATCTCCTCCACCACCTTATCCCTTAGCAAGGCCTTGTTGCCTCACCCCTGAGGGCTGTAGCCATGGCACTCATTGCCAGTGAACAGCGGACAAGGGCTCCTCCATCACCCACTCACATTGGGCCCAGGGCTGCCAACACGAGCCCTGGAGATTACAGTCTCTTGGATACAGAATCCTCAGCTTTAAGGACTTTTGTCTCTAGCTGCTAAAGATTTTGTTATTATTATGTCTAGATACCCTGGAAACTCTATATTTGCCATAGAATTTACTAGATACACATGTGACCCATCTGTGAGCTCTCACTTGGACTTCATGGATTGGTCTTCCATCTCATTTGATTGTAGGAAGTCAGATTTACTGAGATACCATTCCACAGATTCCTGGAAATAATCACTGAAATTGAGAAGACCTGCAAATCTGCTCTGGTTCTTCTGTTCCCTTAAATCCGTAATGGTGAACCTATTGCACATAAGCTTCAGCAGCCTGTTTGTACAACTGAAAGCTCTAGAATATTTGCTGTCACTGCCCTAAACTGTCCCTCTAGTCCTAGATTGCTGCTTTGTCTTCCCATGGACTGCTGCTACCAGTCTTCCCCTACACTTCAGGACCAATTCACCTCAAGCTGTTGCTCCCTGGTCTTGTCTCGTTCTGGTTTGGGGCACACACCATTCCCACAGCTCCGCACAAGGAGAACAGAGAGATGTTGGCAGTGTAAGTCCACCAATAATGGGAGTACAGTTCAACATAAAGAGGAATGTACAACCGCACACATGTGGCTATGCTCACAGCCCCTGCTCCCCAAGCCTGTCTTCAGGTGTCACTATGGCTGTTTCATAGCCAACTACCTGGCTATCCACATCTCAAAGGCCTAATTTCCTTCTTGGCAGTGAGAGGAGCTTCATCCATGTCTCCCCTGCCCATGGACCCAAGCTCTAGCACACATAAAATCTCAAAAGGAGCAGGGAACTACAGCCTCATTCCAACCTAAGGCCTGCCTGGCCTAGTCCTCATATCACATCTCCATTTCCCAAATAGTTGATATGAGACTTTCCTCTTCTATAGGGAAACTCTACTCCTGTCTTAAGCATGTGAGTGTCTGATGTTAGTATATTCTGGATTGCTCAGACTCACACATGAGTCAGAAAATAGTTTAGCTGGTGTAGGATGTGACCTAGTGTCTTTTTGTAGTCCTTTCCAGTATAAAATTTCAAAAAGAAACCTGCCAGGACTAAGATTATTGGGGTGAGAGAAGAGGAAGGGCACATGTGAGGAAGGAGACATAGGGAAGAGGAGCTGGGGGCTACCACAGGACTGGTAGACACTAGGTGGGGGAGTGGTGAAGGGTGGTGCTCAGGATCCTGAGTGAGTCCTGGTGCCCTGACCTAAGGGGCAGGATATAGGAGAAGAAGAAGAAGATTAATGACAGTGCAGGGTCCATGATGGGTTTGACATGTTCATTTTGAGGTGATAGTGTGAAAGTCAGTGTAGATGCATGATACACAGATGTAATTATTGATGAGTAATGGACATTCTGGGATGATTTTTAAATTTTTACTACTACATGTCTGCAGTACATAATCACTACATTCATGGGGGAAATTGGTACATGTACATAACACATCTTAATTCATTTTTATTCTCCTTCCTCTCTATCCTGAGATTCTGCGATTCTAAGACTTAGTAATGATACGAGAAGGAATAATATCACATTGAGTCAACTCTTCTAGAATCTTCCTGCCTTTGTCTTCCCATATTTCTCTGGAAGATACACAGATTCTTC